AAGAGCTCGTGTATGTCTTACTGGGACACACCTGAACGGACGGGACGGTGCAGCTGGCTGCCGCAAAAACGCGGGTCAAGGCTTTGCTCCCTACTACATTATTTTGACAGGAACGCCAAAATGTGTATGGCCCCCTTGTTATACATCGTGTGCACGTGCGTCACGCAGCGCCCCTTCGTCACTTCCGGAATGCGCCACCGACATGCCCGGGTACCTACTGACTCCGTTGCCTACCGCTGCCGTGTTGTTTCCATGTGATTGCGCCAGTTTAGTTTCGCCTCACGATGAAAGTTTGAGAAATTACCCGCTGCTAGTGAGGCAAGTTGATTTAGTAGTCCACAAAGAAGGAACAGAGCTTCGGGGTGTTTCTTCGCCGAAAGTTATTACCTGAAATTGAGAACGCACACTGCGATTTTCTGAAAAGTACGATCTTGTTTGGCTGGCGCGGATTAACAAAAGTACTTGAAGAAACTCTGTGACATTTGTGTCTTCAGGTGTAACTTCATTACGGGCAAGTGCTATAGCCAAGCACTTACCTGCAAACAGAGATAGCTTACCAAGATACTGTACATACAAACTTGTACGCGACCAATGCGTGCACAATCAGCATGTAAGGGAGGCGTTTAAAATCGTGATGGCGATCGCAGAAATTCGGGTATTGCATTGAAACAAACCGTGAAAATGAATGCGAAACAATATTAGTTCACTGAAGTATAGCTGATCGGTACGAGTTGGGGAGTCAGGTTTTTTAAAAATTGGTCAATTAATTATCTAAAACGGTCTCCATCATTTTCAGGGACTCCACTCTACATATGCTACAACAAAAGTAAAATACAAGGTGAAAAAAATCTCAAAGCATACGCAAAAAAAAAAAAAGTGATGATAGCATTACCGCGGCACGCACCACGCGAAGTCTCTATCTGCCTCGCATAATATGTATTTTTCTCGGCTATTTCCACCAATTCCAATCAAACAGGCTCAACATCAGCACTGTTTAAAACACTTTGGGGGGGGGGGGGGGGGATGCTGCTACTTTGAAGGCGTGGGCCGCAACAATATAATAATATTAATATTTTATCTCTCGTAAACTTACCTAGCTTGGCATGACTCGTTTTCGATGGGAGCTGCTGCGCTTCGCTCATTCACTCTTAAAATTGCGGCTCGAGAGACTTAGGGCTTTCACTTGTTCTTGGGTCACGCAATTTGTAGTGTTTGTATATTGAAAGCAAGATAATGGGCCCTTGTAGGTCGTGGCGGGCAGCCGGTGTATGCAGTGGCTGGTGTCGCACATCTTGATTTTCTGGTCTTGTATCAAGTGAACAAACGAGGCCTTCATGATCCAATGAGCTCGTTAAAGTACGACAACAAAAAACCACAATGTTTCTTTTTGAACATCGTACACAGCAACAAATGACGAGCCCCAACAAACCACGCTGCAGCACGTGAACTCAGGGAGGTACCCAGGGAGGTAACCGGGCATGGCGGGAGAGGGCGACAACGACAGAAGTGGCATCACATGAACACTATGTATTGACAGTCTAGGCTGGTCTTTTGCCGTCGCCGCCACCGCCGTCATTCATTGTATATGTATACTTATCTATATATATATTAAAACTCTGGAAAGAAAAAAAAAGCCACCCGTGCTCGGTGGCCAGCTCATCGCAATGCGCCCACGAGCGCTTATCTCTGACATGTACTTTGCGCCATGAACGGGGGGGGGGTTTGATGCTTGTGTGCGCGCGCTTACCGTAATTACTCGAATCTAACGCGCACCTTTTTTCCGGTTAAGCGAGTTCATAAATCGCATGCGCGTTAGAATCGAGTATGAACAAAAAAATTACGGTCAATCTATTGCCATCAACAAATCTAAAATGGCCGCCCCCTACGTGCGTCGGCATGGCGCGTCGGCCATTTCTGCCTATGTGTTTCCTATGTACAGCACTTCGTACGTGTGCTGAGGAGTTCGTCATCTAGTAGTGCATTAGCATCGACGGCATGGAAGGGCCGACTCCAAAAACTCGAGTGCACCACGATGCCGCTTTTAAAAGAAAAGTCATCGCATGTGCAGAAACAGACGGAAATCGGGCCGCATCGCGGTCGTTCGGAGTTCCCAAAACGTGCGTGCGGGACCGGCGGAAACAAAAGCAGAAGATTGTCGACAGCAAAGCTTCACGCAAAGGCTTCAGTGGACCACGGCAGGGTCGGTTTCCGCAAATTAAAGAGCTGCTCGGCGAGTATGTGCATGAGCAGCGAGCGGCACAGCGGCCCGTGACGACAGAACTGCTCTAAGTACGGGCTATGCAATTAGCCTTAGAAAAAGGTCTAATGCGAAGCCAGTGTAAAGCGAGCAGGTGCTGGTTAACTAACTTTATGAAGAGGAAAGGCTTTTGCCTCCGAAGGGGAACTGGCATATGCGAAAAGTTTTGTGGGGAAGTACGATGAAAAGCTTCACAGTTTTCAGAGGTTTGTCCTAAACTTGCGGCACAACAACGGCTACCTGCTTGGGAAAATAGGGAATGCCGATCAGACGCCTCTTTACTTCAACATGCCTGGCACCACAACCGTCGAGAAGAAGAGGGCGAAGCAAGTTCGCATGCTGACATCGGTCCACGGTAAAACTACAGTGACGGCAATGCTCTGTTACACGTCAGATGGGCACAAGCTTCGCCCGTACCTCATATTTAAATGGAAGGCGCTCCCGAAAAGAGTCGTTTTTCGAGTGGTGTGATCGTGCGGGCCAGCGAGAAAAATGGGTGCGCGTTGGAATCGATGTCTTACGTTTTTTTTTTTTTCGCGGTGGAAATCGGGTGCGCGTTACAATCGAGGGCGCGGTAGAATCGAGTAAATACGGTATCTTTCGGTGGGGAGAATCGTGTGCCTTCGGCTTTCACTGGAACGATTGCGGCAGTTTTCGGGCCCAGAAAGGTATCTTCGGTCTATGCATAGGCCCCATTTGCGAAAAGAGCGCGCTTTTCATACACAGCGAGTTATAGGGACACTTGTTAGTTTGTACTCATCCGTACCTGTGATTATGTATTGAGCATCGCTTTTTTTTTTGTTTAAACAGCGCGTTACGTGTCAAGCGGTAAACATTGTTAGTTCGCTCTCGTTTTGTGTGTATTGTTTTCGTGCGTCATTTGTGCATGAGCAGCGCACTGCACGTTTCGATCTACTTGCCGTTCTCGGTGTGCATTTCAAGTTATTGCTGTCGCATTCATTGCTTTGCCCTTGCGGCGAAGCTGTGACTTTTTTTTACGTATTTACTGCCTTTAGTCTACCGCTGCGTGCCCTCAGAGCTCGTAGATCGCTATCGCGCCGCCACGACCGCGATGTTGTGCGCGGCAGTTGCAGCAAATGTTAGTTCCTTTTTCAATCCCCGTGCGCTTGACTGCACACATGCCTTCAAAACAAAGTCGTTTTAAGCCGTCTACAATCGTTGCACACATGCCTTAAAACAAAGTCGTTTTATGCCGTCTACAATCGTATCTGCCGTGGTTTTGTCCCCAGGGTTTGCAGAAATCAGCGTTGCTTTGACTGGTTGAGTGTTGGATGCACGCACACTTTCGAGACCGTCAGTTACGTCGTCGCCATACATGATCGCGTCAAAAGCGGCCATGGTTTCATTTACAATGGTTGTGGCAATGACAATCACGCACACTATAGAAGACAGTGCGTACGCCGGTCGCACGCGTATGTACTTCCAAAGCTTCGAGTACGCTGCTCACGGCCTTCGTTCGTCGATTTTCGTAAAGTTTGTATCACCTGCCGCGATTAGGAAATGTGTTGGGAACATTCGAATTTAGACCCAATAGACATAATGAAATTTCGCTGAGGAATTTAACGAATTCACATCTGCCGCGGTTTCGCATCACTGAGATTCTACAGTGTTTAGATAAACGCCTCTTAAACTTATTCATAATAAATGGGGTAGGTTCGAAAAGCCTGGAGCAGATTGAGCTGCTTTATTGTCAAGGCGGCCGGATCACGCGCAAAAATTTCGATTTCCGGGAGATTTTCATGACAACCGTACAAACGGAAGAAACAGTCCAAATCCGGGAGTCCCCCGGCCAATCCGGGAGACTTGGCAGGTATCTACCATAGAAGATCTGTTTTGATATTCTTCCTCTTGCGTATGCACTACATTTGTACCATAACAGTGTATGAAGTGTTAATTGCAAAGGTAGGTCGCTTTGAATAGTGTTCGTTACATCTGGGCAGAGATTCAATGGGTAGTATAGGAAAATCATCATTTCATTGAATTATGGTTGTTGTAATCAATAGATGGCTTTATCTAAGATCATTGTAAATGGCTTTAAATGTTCGATACATCGCTGACAGGGCTTCCAAGTTTTTTTTTTTTTTTTTTGTTATGGTAGGCATTTCACTATAGCAATGTTCTCTGCATTAAGGTTCCACTGTATTTTTGTCAATGTCTCTTTAATTAAATTTAGCTACACCAAGAGTTACTGAATCAACTGAGAGTAACTTTACTTGTTACAATAATCATACTATGGCCACTATTTGGTTTTTATCTGGAATTCATTTACAGTTGCTAAGAACTAGGGTAACAGCAGGAGCAATTAATTGCTAATTATATCAAGTAAATTAACTGGGTTAATTACATTACATCTGATGCACTTAAATATGACAACATAGTAGTAATAAATTTGCATTTGACTGAATGTACAGCTTTAATTAAAGTGCAATGAAATATGCCAACATCGCAGAGAAGTATTGTCACTCAGGAAAAGAGACATGTAAAGAGACGCAGAAGAAGAAAAGGCAGATCATAACATAGCAATAAATACTCAATAAACAAGGTTAAAAGTGCAATTCAACATACGAAAATGGAAGTACCAGTGATTCAGTCAAGTCTCTCTATCTCTCCGACTTCTCTCATTTGTTAAAAGATACAGAAAATACAGGAAAACCCATCCGCAAATTTACAGTAGCACCACGAAACATGACAGAAATTTCAGAAATCTAAATAAAGTGATTACCTCAGCATTAGAAGAGGTTTGTGGTGTGCTCATATCATCCATGGCACCTTTCTTTGCGTCACTTGCATCACCTGCAACAACAGAAAAAGAAACCCTATTCATGCTTTTGCTAGCACAAACATAATATTGGCGAGTCAATTTCGTTCAGAAAACCATGGCAGAGGAATTAATGTGCACTGTGCAAGCACATCAACTTCTACAATGTGTCTAGGTCATTTCACATTAAAATAATACACAGTAAAGATTTTGTTGTATATAAAAGAAAAACATCAGCATAAGAGCTCTCTTACACGTAACAAATTTTATACAAGAAAAACTGCAGTGCTTTTATAATTTATGCCTGCATATAAAATATTTCACCAAAAGGAACAGCTGGCTTTTCAACATGGGAGTACCAATTAGTATAACAATACTACTACAATATCCTGAGCAAGCAACCGCTCTTGCGGAAAGATAATCGCACAAGATTTGGAGGGGGATCCTTACTCCATCGCAGACCGATATTCAAGATGGTGGGGAAGAGGCTCTAAAAAGAATGTACACCTGTGATTCTAAAGGAACACTTTATTGAATACACTTGCATTTACTGTTTTGTACTAAAATTGAGAGAACCCTTTTAAGAGATTTCATGCGTTATGATAAGGGGGAAAGACATTCTTCAAATGTTCCGACAATTTGTGTCAACTCGCAATGCAACTAGGAGTCCACAAGCTAAAAAAGTTAATAGGGAATCATGCACATATCTAAATATTCTCAGAACTTGGGTCCTTCACTTGTTCATAAGGGGCATACTTCCAGTCTCCGAAAAAGGCGGAAGGGGCTGTTTGCACGGTCAAGGGCAAGCAGCTGCTGCCCAAGCAAGCAGTCAATGACTGAGAGTGCGGAACACTTTTTCTGCCTGCTGGCATCACAAAGCAGGTGACCTTTTAAAACTGACAGCTGACCAATAATCCCTCTCATGCTACCTAAAGGTAAAGGCATCCACTCTGCCTAAAAAAGACCCTCACTATGAATGAACGAAAAGGAAATTTTAAGTGTTCATTGTTCCTTGTCGTGCACGACATTAATTAGAACAGATAAGAAAGCCAAGAAAAATATAGGGAATGTTGTCTGCAGTAATTTAAGAAGAAAGTGGATGAAAGGTAACTTGCCACAGGCAGGGACTAAACCTATGACCTTGGAATGATGCGTCCGATGCTCTACCAAATGACCGACCTGCATTGATTGATATGTGGGGTTTAACGTCCCAAAACCACTATATGATTATGAGAGACGCCGTAGTAGAGGGCTCCGGAAATTTCGACCACCTGGGGTTCTTTAACGTGCACCCAAATCTGAGCACACGGGCCTACAACATTTCCGCCTCCATCGGAAATGCAGCCGCCGCAGCCGAAATTCGATCCCGCGACCTGCGGGTCAGCAGCCGAGTACCTTAGCCACTAGACCACTGTGGCGGGGCTACGACCTGCATGGCTCTAGCATTGCCGACTAACAGTCCTAGGATTAAGTGCACACATGTACTTCATAGCGAAGACAGGGAGGGAGATGACCGCCACTCTAACTAGTAGAGCATCAGATACATTATTCGAAAGTCGCAGGTTGTTCTTGCCAACAACAAGTTATCTCTTCGTCAACTTTACTTTCTTCTCAGTTACATTATAATTACCATATTTACTCGAATCTAGGCCAATCCCAATTCTAGGCTGACCCCCAAAAGTCCGAAGCCCTGAGGAAAAAAAACTTACCTCGAATGTAGGCCGAACAAAAAAGCATTCACAGAGAGACGATTTATTGAACATAAAAATGAAACAAAGCAGTTGGTTCTTGATACAAATACCTCAAGAAACATAGAGCCGCTAGTCCTGTTGTGTGTGTTTGTCATCTTTTTTTTTTCGCGCTGCTTCTGGTTATTTGCATCATAAAGATGCTGTGCTTGCCGATTTCGCGCTCATTCCGAGTTGTCGTCGCTGTTTTCTAACAGTGTGCAATCCTCGGTGCTATCACGCACAATGGATATGCCGTACTACTTCAAAGAGCGCACAATCAAAGTTCCTGTGTTGTCATCTCCCGCTGCAGCCTCTTCATCGATGTAATTTTTTTTTGTCCACTCCAAAGTCCCGCCCGGCTTGAATGTTGGACGGTGACTTTGCGGCTGGGACAATTTTTCTTTTATAAGCAGCACTATTCGCAACGTCTGGGTACCGTGGCATTGCTGAGTGGTGGCGGCCGGAAGCGCTGTTGAGACGATTCAAGTTTTGGACCTGCTTCAAACAGCAGATGTTGCTGCTTCTTTTGCCGTGTTTTTGGTCGTTTTTCAACATTGTGAATGGCCTCGATATTACCATAGCCCTTTGAGTCTATTAAGTTAAAGGTAGAGTAGAAAAACAAAAGGCCGACTGATTTCACTGCGAGCCTCGATGCTCACAGCCTATATACACAGGGAAGAATAGTAAACCTCCCGTTAAAATTAGCGCTCCAAAAAGTCATGAGCGGTTAAGAGGGTTAAATTTAGCAGGCAAATAACCAAGGCCCATGAATGTTTGCACCACCCATTTTGTGTACAAGTACAGCAATTTCCAGGTTTGCAGTTTTCGCGCTTAGTTTATCAGCCCGACATGGTCATTGTGCAAACAGTACCAGAATTAAGTTAGGTATGCATTCCGCCTGTAAAATAGAATGAAAGAAGCGGTTTCAAAACGTTCACCGCATCGTTAAACATCTGAGGCTTCTGCGAAGTGCCTCCGTGACCTTCACATCTGCAGCAATTTATGTTCGGTCTTACTTACTGATGGCGTTTTGTTTTGTTTTTTGTCGTTTCTGCTCTGCACCATGCTATTTTTTGTACTTCTCAAACACCGAAACATAGAATAGTAACAGGAACGTCACCACTTGAACTTGAAAATTGCATATTACCACTGGTTTCAATTGCTGCTTGTGACTTCATTCTCTTGATATTCTGTTGTTGTTTTTTTAACCAAGAAAGCACCCTAAAACATATTGCCAGCATTATGACATGCCGCAGTTGGTGCTTGTGCTTCGGTCTTGAAAAACAATTTTTTTTCGTCTGCTTATTCTACTTCATATGTTCAGGTGTGCTGAAACAGCTTCGCTCAGAATGCAATGCCAGCAAAACTCTAAGATGAAGCGCGTCTCCAAAAATGTTTCCGATATTACTGAGAAATTTGTACTGAGGCTCCCAATATTATACTTTTCCTACATGACACCAGGTGTTGCGCTTGATTACGCACAGCAAGCAATGTGAAGAGCATACATGTGAGCCTTATTTACAATTTTGCACATATTTATATACCCAATGTGCTACCCGGTAGCACATTGGGCATTTATTTACTTAAACGGGGGGTGACACCGAATTTCGAGGCTATCCCGAGCCTGTTGTGGGTTTCCCCTGTATGCAAGGACTCTCCACACGAAGAGTCAGACACAACAAACGCGTAGAATATATTTTAATTCACTTCTAAAGATGTAGCTGAATGCCCACTCTCGCAATCTAGGAAAATCGCTTGCATAGCAACACTGACGTTTCAGAATAGGAGAAGCAACGGCAGTTGTCGTGACGTCACATCAGATTTGTAGTGGCGTGAGTGACCTCCGCCATCTACGAAACGCATTTTGTGAACAAGGAGAGAACTAGCATGCCTGCTGTTACCGAGTGTGCTGGCGTCCCTTGCAGAGACACTGTGTGTGTCCGTCAAGGACTGTGGGTGTTTTCGAAAAGACACTCGACGGGTCGTTCAGAGATGCTGCGCACGTCCAACAGCGGGGCTGTCTCATATCCTCCATCAGCATCTGGGCGCCTATAAAAGGCCGGCGCATAGAGCGTCGAGTGGCTTCTTCATCCACGTTTTCTACATATGTTGTGAATATAAACACCGTTTCCTTCTTGCTGCCTTTTCCTTGCTGCTGCCTCGATGCTACTGCAGCTGGCCATGACGACCGTCAGCGCGTTTGTTTTGCTGGCGCTTGGTGTGGCACGTGTGTATGAGGGCAGAGGAAACTCAACACAATGTACGTTGCAGCCTTGTGTGCTAACGTGACCAAGCCACCTCTGCATCAACGTCACTGCCCAATTTGGCACCGCAAAACCGAAACTGAAAATGTCTACATAAGTAGAGCAATATTAAATTATTTAGCGAAAATACAGGAATCTTGGTGTGTGTATCATGCTTCCTGAAGCTGAAGGAAATGCTTACAGCAAAGAACACGCATGCCACAAATTTGGTGGTACCATTATTATACACTAGTATGCTAGCGCTCCCCTACTTTCTCAAAAAGATAAATCAAAGAGCCAATGAAGCGTGAAGAATTGCACTCTCCACCAAAAGCGTACTTTCCGGTACAGCCTTTCTCATGGCGATCATCTCAACAACAGTTATGTTGGATGCACAGTCGTGCCACCTATAGGTCGTGAAAGTTGCGAATAGTGAAACTGCCTGTATGTCGCCATTGAGCTATGCCACACACAGACCACTTAAAGGACGACTCGAAATCACCTATGGCACGGCTAGCCTCAACACTCGCCACAAAGATCACTTAAGCCTGGTGTTGGCTTAAGCTACTACAACTATTATACCACCTGGGTAGCGCTAGCTGTGAACCACTTCCCTCAATGAAAAATGGTGTGTTTTTCAAAATCCTCAAATCTAAGCCAACCCTGGAGTTTGATGCAAAGAAATTTGAAAAAAAAAAAAAAACCTATCAGCATAAATTCGAATAAATTCGGTACCACAAACAATATCCCTATTCTTTTTTTGGCTTTTTGCCTGTTAGTTCTAATTTATATAATTAACACTGTAAGCACACACCAAAATTAGGTGAATACACAATTTCATACAGGCACAGGAATGAAGAAATGATAGAGGCACAGCGTATCGATGACAGTGAGAGAGAATGCGCAAGTCAACCATTGATTACCTTGCATAAGAAGAAATCAAATGCCTTAACAGTTATCTTTCACCCCCCGCCCCCAAATACTGAATTGATGGGTTTGCTTATTTTCTGGGCATGTGAAGATAAGTTTTCGTGCTTTGTTTATTTTGTGCTGTTTAGCCACTTCAGAGTTGTTGGTTGTGATAGTGGAATCTTGACCTCTTTCTTGTGTCTGAGTTTATACACGACATCTTTTAGAATCAAAAAGTTTGACCCAGGTAGGCAACTCTTACAGTTATTAGCACAGTCTACAACACAGTACTCCATACGCGACATTGCAATGCGCTAGCAACTTGACACAGCTCCACTGATTAGCTAGCTGCTGAGCAGAGCACACAAGATGCTTTTTATTCACTCCCACACCCCGTCGCCACTGACTCATTGCTTTTTTTTTTTTTTTATAGCATTGATCATTATTAGAACAGCCCACTTGTCTTGTAGCAAGAAGTACCAACAGCAAAAAGAACACACTTCTTTATGATTTCAAAAATAGGGCCACTACCTTCAAGAAGTTGCTTCAGGTCTGCAATGCTCATCTGTGCTGTTGCTTGGCCTACTTTGTCCCCGAGCTGGCAGGATAAATAAAACCAAACATGGTTATTGAGTAAACTTGAGCAATATGTATTAGTGACACTAAATCCAGCTGTCAGAAAAATGCAGAAATAAAAAAGTTAGGTTAGTAATTTTTATAGCACATCTAAAATCACCATTTGAAAGGTACAGTGCTGACAGACGATACCTGATGCCAGGCTATTGGTGCGATTGAAATGGTTGCAACAAGCAGTAGTGCTACCTTGACAAGTATATCGATCGATATATGGGGTTTAGCGTCCCAAAACCACAATATGATTACGAGGGACACCATAGCGGAGGGCTCCGGAAATTTAGACCACCTGGGGTTCTTTAACGTGCACCCAAATCTGAGCACACGGGCCTACAACATCTCCACCTCCATCGGAAATGCAGCCGCCGCAGCCGGGATTTGAACCCGCGACCTGCGGGTCAGCATCCGAGTACCTTAGCCACTAGACCACCGCGGCGGGGCAAGGGGGGCAGGTCTCTTAATATTCCAAAGCACCATATTGTATTACAGTCAAGCCCGCTTATAACGAACCTGAGCGTGACGCGGCATCTGTTTGCTGTATCCCGAAGTTCGTAGTAATTGAAACACAGGTTTTCAAAAAAGTTGCAAGTGAAAACACAAACTTTTTTTGCCCCAAAAAGTCCGTGATGCACGTGTTTCGAAGAGCGGAAGCGATAAGGGCAGTCTCGAGTTCATTTAAAACGGCAGGGTGCTCGTTCGCCAAGGCCCACGGCATAAGCTGCATGAGGCACTGGCTCCAAAGTTTCGTCGTTCTCGCAATTCGATTCCTTCAAATCATTCTCGCCACGTACTTCCTTCACAATGCCCCAATCCATGCACGGTTCCGCAGTGTCGGCATCATCATCGGCCGTAATTACACCATCGCAACAGATGTCCCACCCGCTCTCCCAGGTCGGAGTCGACAACGCGCTGCCACAAATCGCCGCCGCAGTTCGGAAGCTTCAGGCTCAGCATCAGGCCTAACGTCAACAAAGTCGGTCTCGCGAAAACAGTTTCACGCGCATATAGCCGTGACCGCCGCCCACGAAATATTCACCATTTTCATAGCTGAATACCGGGACGCCCGAAGCAGCAAGTTGGCTGCCAGGTAGTCAACAGCTATGAGCAAGCGCTCCGCAATGCGGCAACGTCCGGATTACGCTCAAGCCAAGCGGTCACACTTCTGACGTTTTGTTGAGAGGCCGGAAAAAGCGTGCTAGTCCTCCCGTCAGCCATCATGACCACACACGCTCACCAAGAGCGAGCAAGATGCGCACATGCGACACACATGCCAGAACGCGTGCAACAGCTCTGGGCCCGATTCCAGTTAGAAAACGAAACTAATTCGAGCCAGCGTGGTGGGCGTTGCGGAGCGGTGGAGACGGGCAAAGGGGTTGTGATCAAGAGAGGAGAGCACACTTGCGAGAGAAGGGCAAGGAGGTGCGATAAACAGAGGGGAGGATGCGGCAGGAGGGCGACCTTGAAAACCAAAACACACGGGAAGGAGGCAGGTTGGGTAGCTTGCTTGAAAGGTCCGCGTAACTTGCACGTAGGAAAACTTGGAAAGAGTGCATGGCCGCCTGAATCGGTGTGCGCAGCGGTGTTCGAAGAATTGGCGGCTGTGGTCAAAAAATTGTTTTGTTGCGCCAGCAGGTTTGCATGATCTCGCGAACTTCGATATTTTGCGATTTGTTCCATGCAAATTAACAGCCGTTTTCGCGCTTCTGCACGCACGCAGAAGGCATGCTGAGATGAGTGCGAAGTGAGCGAGAACAAGTTCTAAACACGAAACAAATCGCAGATTATCAGAGTCGGTGGGGTAGCGTATGTGCGCGCAGTAGACGCAGACTATTGGATACAGTCGGTGGCCGACGATGTTGGCAAACGGTCTGGTCACTCCAGGCCGGCGACGCTAAGGACAGTACCAGTGATCAAAAACAGGGTAGATGGCCGACCGGTCTTCGAAAGATCGGTGGCAGTGTGAAAACACGGGCCTCGTCTGACGATGCGGGGTGCTCAGTGTAGCGGGGGGACAAAGGACGGAGGGGTGCATAACAAAAAGCGGTCGGGAAGAGCGGAAAATAGAGGGGCGCGGAGGCAGGGTCGGCGTTTAACAATAAGAATGTATGGGCACCTCGCCGATGCCTGATCGTTGGTCGAAATTGGTTTCCCGGGAAGTCGACAGACCGCTGACTTCGTTCGCTGTAACCAATCAGCGGCGCCCGGAGACGTTCGTTCTAACTGCGATTGTGTGCCATTGAACCAATGTATATTTTCACGGTCACGCGGATATTCGTTTTAAGTGAAAGTTTGTTTTAAGTGGGGCCGTTATATTTGGGCTCGACTGTAGTTGGAAGACGTTACGATTTGTTGCATTTAAAAAAAACTGTAACAGAAATAGAATACACAGTTGAAATCTGCTGCTACAATTTCCACCAGACAAGAGACCATCATCAATTCTTGTTATTTGCACTATTCTAAAGTGAGCTGCACTCTCTAACACCATAAATTTCCCTTGCTGCCTTGCCTTAATGGTCACACAAATGTCAAGTTGTGACATTGAGTGCCTGTGCAAGGCAAGTGGCACACGGAGTGGCTACAGCAGACCAGTACAGTGAGCATCCGGCTCCCTGCATCTGACTGATACCAGTATCTGCACATTTATGGCAGTCACTTGACATTGGAAGACTACCTCCAGAAATAATGCATTTACAACCCAAGGTGATTGTTGTGAGCTTTAGTTTATCTACGAGCTTCTGATCATTTGTATATCATTGAAGTAACGAAGGCAAAAATGTGAGCTGAATGGGGCACCTGATGGCAAAAAACTCAACCAGGCAAACAGTGAACATGACCTTCACAATCCACTACGCACTAGAGAAGATGACGTTCAGGTGCAATCTCGCCCACCGAAGGGGGTGAAGATGGGGGCCTCTGTATGAAATAAGCGTGCTAGAGAAAGTGGCAACTTGGAGCTCCCCATGTAACCTTTACATTCCATGCACGACTACAAAATTTGGCTGCATTGTTCACGGCAATGTTCGCTGTTCACGGCAATGTTCGCTGTTCACAGAATGTGCTATTTCACCAAGCCCAAGGAGTGGTTCAGCACCTCTTTATGGCAGAGACAAGCTGGGTACAAATTATTTAAGCTTGGCTAAAATACAGCAAGTTTCACCAATGGAAGTAGTTTTTCATAATTGGAGCAGTGATCACATTAATGTGCATCACTACCAAGTTATAGTACACATGGGAAAGATAATTAACCAATGTGTGCCCACACACACACAATTAAGATGACCAAACATATTACATCCTTAAAGCTATGAACTTTTCCCACAGTATTCTTTATAATATACTACATTGCTTGACAGTGAAATGAATGAGTGAAATGAAAAGGCTGCACATCTACTTACCTCCTGGGAGACACGTAGGTGCCGGGTGGCATAGTGGAGTGCCTCTTTGTGGTCACCCAGAGAGCAATGTGCATTGGATAGACTCCAATATGCACGCCCTTTACCAACTATGTCACTGAGTTCTTCAGCAATTTGAAGGTGCTTTAAATGATATTCTATGGCACGCTCAAAGTCACGTAGCAGTGTGTATGTGTTTCCCAAACTGTAACAGGCTTGGGCCTCAACTGCCCTATCTCCAAGTTCTTTGGCCAAATGGTAAGTCTTCCTAGAAAAAGAAAGAGGCAGTTGCAGAGTTACTCAGTAACAGCTATGCAAGTATAGAAAAACAATTAACACAACTTAAAATATGGGCTATGAGAGATGTTTGTGGTGAATTAGATTAATTTCAACCACTACAATTTTTTTTCATTAAAACACTGAACCTAACAATAAGGAAATTAGGATTCCTGCATTTTACCTCTACCAGAATGCCAGTGCCAAAGAAGTCAAAGCCACAACCTTCACACCAAGCAGCAGAAAAAGTTGTAGGCACACGACCACCATTGTGAATTCATGCAAGTCTGAAACATTAACCATACCTAAAAGCAACTATAAAAAAGTTAAATCTGTGGATTGTGTCTGACATCAAAGCACACCTCCTTCAAAAACGCTTATCATTCAAACATTCTCGAATTCAATATGAAGTCCTCAGGAATCAATATCTGCTGCCACCTTTCCCTTGTGTTCATAATTAAAGCTACAGTTGAAGTCGCTAAGGTGAGTTTAATGGTCGAGACGACAATAAGAAGGATATTATAGAGTCCTTGCCTTGTCTGCATTGTACGCAGGAGTCTTCACTACAGCTATAATATTTGCATTATCCATGAAACAATTAGCTCCAGTCCTTGAAACCGTGCAGTTGATTGCCCACATAGAATGACACTCGCAACACTCTGCCAATTACAGTAATCAAGATCATGATGCACAAGGCCCTGTTGTACTCGAAAGTTACCATACTCGTATCACAGCACCAAAATGACGTGGACACAGAAAAGACAGGCATAAATGGCATGCTGAACCTCCCTAAACCACTGTGGTACCAGCATTGCAACACCCTGACGTGGTATACAATGGAAGCAAACACCACAGCTCTGTTCACTGTTCACAGGTCACCTGCTGAATAGTTTTGCTAAATAGTACTCGAAGCTGTCTTTGTCTCTCAAAGCATGTTCAGCACTTGTGAAATTAGGCAGACAGAACTTTTGACAAATATATTAAAGCACATGTTAATATAAGAAAAGTTTGATGAAGTACACTTGCATTGAGGAACTATTCATAGCACAAACACTCAAACAAAAATTTGCAGTACCAGTAGGCATCATGAAAATCATCACTGCACTTCATTACTCAAAATCGACTTTAGGAAGTCCCCAAAACCCATTTTCTGTCACAGCTGAAACATCACTAAGAGCCGTAAACGAAGAGTTTATTTCACGTCATGCTTTCTTACATACGATAATTTTTCTTACATACGGTCAATGTATTAATGTTAAAAGAGCTGCGGAAAAGTGGTGAGACATTAACTTTCTTTGTCATGTCATTTGCCTTCCACCTGTGTTTTATGCCGCCATGACTATGTCCCATTGACAACAAAATCATGAATAATTCTGGACGACTTGATGAAAGTTGCTCTTGCATATCTTTTAGATAGCTTTCCTTATAGATAGTGCGAGTGATGGCAGCTTCAAAATGGAGTTCATATCATTAAGGGGGAACATGGCAATGGGAATGATAAATTTGATAAAAAAAACATTCAATTTTTCAATTTATTATTTTTTACAATCCTGAGACCATGTTCATCATGGTGAAATATTAGACCAAAATAAGAAGTAGAAATAGAGAAAAAAAGCACTTTAGTGGTGGGTTGTCATCTAAAGCTATGAGAAAATTGGACTTTAGAAAATGCAAACCTATAGCTTTCCCTTGGCACAGTGCCACCATATTGGCATCATCATTAAGAGGACTGATCGGAGCTCAAGATAACCACAAAGCTGCATTTCTCAAATGAAAAATAAAGCGAGTACTTTTCTGAGCTCTGTTTTCTTAGTTTCTAGCTCCCATTTCTTTAAGTTCCATTTTCTCAGCTTTCATTTTTCGAGCAGTTGCTGTCAGTCATCCCTGTGCCATTTTACAACAAATTAAGACACAGCCATTCCATTTTCTGCACTTAGATCCTGAGACATCGGTGAGTGCGTAAAGGTGTCCATATTTGTGTGCACATCATACAAATTATTATATCTGGCTTTTTGTAAAAGCTGTTAGTAAAACAATATGCCCAGGACATTTCTAAAATTTTTTGTGCACTCATTTTAATATTAAAACATAAACCAGTAGTACTTTGGAACAGAATGGGCCATTGTGAATATCCTTATGCAAAAGTCAAGATGAACTTAGGTCTAATTAATTAACTAATCTTAGAATAGAGTCTACCGTAACTCAAAAGCTCCATTCGATTGCTCAAAAGCGATTTCAGTAATGATATCAGTACAACAAACGACATCTACACTCTTAATTTTATCACTTTATCTCTATAACTAACAATAATAATGTTCATTGCCACATTCCCCCCCCCCCCCCCCCTTATTGTTGCTTAACGTCTTTAAAGGGTTCGTGACATGCTTGCCAAAAATTTTCAATTACGTGTGTACTGAGCATCCTGGTCGTCCATTCAATACTATACTTTAACGCATTTGATCTTCTAGGCTCACTAAATAACTAAAAAAGGGAAAGTTCGGTTTCCCAGCTCACGATCCCCTTAACTGTGCAGCTGACATCACTTAAGACAGCCAATGAAAAGTCTCTGTCGTCAACAAAACATGGCGACGCAGCGATGTTTTTGAGCTTTAGTTGACTGTGGTTCGTAACATCATACCGTTCTACTGTGGCGCCGTCATCACCATGACAATATCATAATGTCACGGACACAAAGAGTTAGGATGGCTGACCTTTCCCAACTACAGTGTCATTTACTATGGCGGAGTCGGCTCTTGGGCTTTAAGCCGTACACCGACGCACCCACGCGAGTGTGTGATCGGCGAAGACAATCACGCACTCACACTGGAGCGACAGCGAAGAAGCCTGCGCCCTGGCAGCACTCCTATCGAGACCGCATGGCAGAACCTCCACTTGCGGAAGCCCCAACCATGAGCCTTCACGTGTGCCCATACCATCGAGGCCATCACGGTCCAAACTGCTCTACACTGTGGCACGATGGACAGCTTGTGAAAGTGGACATTGTTTGCACTTCGATAAATTGTGCGGCACTGTTTCACGACGCACACGGTTGGCATAGCAAGAACTAAGACACCCAGAACATGCAGTATAACACAACCTGATTCAACAAGCAAAAATAAAGTCTGGTACACTACGCTCGCTGCACCGATCGACCTAAGGCAACCGGCGGGAAGGCAAGAATACATACTTTCAAAACACGGATGTACTTGAAAGTGGAGCCAAGCAGATCGCTTGCTGCAATCGCACAGCATACAACATAAGGTGCAAATGTTGCTGAGTTTTTTTTTCTTTTCTAGGTGCCTATATATCTAATACTTCAGAGCAAAATAAAGCTAATGATCTGTTTGTAACTTCTCTTACTTTGACGTCTCACTAACGTCACATGTTAGTGTCTATAGCGGCCAATGGTGCCGTACGGTAGCTAGCAAGCTCTAAAAAAACTGCGATTTCAATGGAGCATCATTAATTACAGACTGAATATTGTGCAGAAATATTTCGGAATTGGTATGTCTAATACTTTTTGAAGCAGAGAAAATTGCAAACCGTGAAGTTTCATTTATCGTTTCACGACCCCTTTAAAAGATGCAACCTAGCATCCAAATACACCTGCAGCACAGAAAAACTGCAGTATATTACTGGTACTGTATGTCTATTCTGCCAAAGGTACTGTATGTCTATTCTGCCAAAATAAGTTGCCACTGTGCTGCTACTGCTCAGCGACCCCCAGGTGGCCACTGCAATTGCACTGTTAACAATTTTTGTACTCTATTGCCTCCCTCCAAGCAGCCTTACATTTCATCAATGAAACCAAACCTTCTGGATGAATAAAAAAAAAAAGACAAAAAAACTGCATTCCTCCCACATTCCTGGAAATGCATGTGTACATTAGGCAAAAACAAGGTGTGCTTCATTAAAAGCATTGATGCATGTCTGTCGACCATAGGTTGCAAAACTTGTAGAGCTCACTCAGGACTCACTCATAAAATATATATTTGACCTTTGGACTCACTCTGACTCACACTCACTAAAAGTTTCCTGAGCTGAACTCACTCAGACTCACCCTCACGAAAATTTTCTTCAATCGGACTCACTCAGACTCAGACTCTCGAAAATATTACTCACTCGAACTCACTCAGACTCGCAGCTTGATCAGAGTCTGAGTGAGTCCGAGTGAGTCAGCTCATGTGCTAGTTCGCCGACCTATGTTGCCAACCCCACTTAATTTCACTGAAAAAATGTGTTCTGCCGTCCAAATCCTCATTATTCAACACCAATGTTAGTGCAATAAAAAAAAAGTTTGCTTTCAGTAAAAAAATTCCGAAGTCTCCACTGAGTCTGAACCACTTATTACAAATAGCAAAAAACGAGAATTTTGATAAGACCCCCCCCCAAAAAAAAAGCTATTGCGTGCCTGCCAAGTTCAAGGATTCTGAATCCGGGAGATTTCTGCGAGGAGGAGGGGGGTCGCATTGTTTTATTGCCCCCCTTCCCGTTTTTTTTTTTTGCATCAGAAGAAAAAAAAGCGTGAAAAAAAAAAAACGAGTGGGGGGAGGGGGTCGTAAACATTGGCGTTGCAGTCTCATAATGACTTGCAGTGGCTGAACACCTGAGGTTAGGGTTTGCCAACTACAGTAGAAAGTGCAAGTCTCAAAGGAGGGTTAAAATATTCATATCTCCCGAAATTACAGTACAAAAACAACTAGCAAAATCTCTTTCAATCAAAAGAACTCGCATGTCTTCCTGTAACACGCGTGAACGAATGGGACGGCAAAGCTGGCTGCCAGGAAAGCGCAGGTCAAAGCTTCGCTTGAGGCCAAATGAAAACTGAATGCCAAAGTGTAGCCAAAATATGCAGGTTGACAGGAACAATGCACATTACTAGAATCTTTTGATAGCAATGCCAAAACAATTCTAACTTTTTTTCAAGTGCTTACTGCCTTATATCTACCACTGCGTTAGCCAATTGCCCTTGGCTAACAGTCGCTATAGACGATTGCGCCGCGGCAACCACGGTTTCACGTGTGGTGGTTACGGAAAACAGTAGTTCTGTTTTCAATCCAAGTCGTTTTTTGCAATCTAATATTGCATCAGTTGTCTGCAGTATCTGAGGAAAGTAACGCCGCGTTGACTGATCAAGCAATAAAAATGCGTGCACTTTCGAGTTCTGTCAGTTACGTTGTCGCCATACAAGACTGTCTCATGTATGGCGGCCGTGGTTTCCTGTACCAGCAGAAAAGTGTACAGCTCACTCACACTCACTCAAGAAATACATTTCGAGCTTTGTGCTGACTCGGACTACAATTCGCCAAAATTTTTCCCCAACTGGACTCTCTCTGGCTCAGACTCACAAAAATTTTTCTCAACCGGACTCACTCGGACTCAAACTCGCCAAAATATTATTCACTCTGACACTACGCTCGGTCCGAGTCAGTGTGAGTCTACTCATGAGTGACTCTTCCGACCGATGTTTTACAGTGGTTGTGGCAAATGATAACCACAGTTCTGACAGTGCGTGCGCTGGCCACGTGTGTCCCGCTTCAAGCATGCTGATCTCGGCCTTAATTCCATGGTTTTGCTACTAAAGTTCATACAGCCCGCCGCGATGAGGAAAAGTTTTCGAAACATGCGAATTTCGACCCGATGGACATAGTAAATATTGGCAGGGAAATTTCACAAACTCGTACCTGCCCCTTTCCTATCATGGAGATATTGAGATTCTACTGTATGTTTAGATTAACGCCTCCTAGATTCATTTACAATAAAATGCGATGGGTCTGCAGAAAGCCTGGATCGGATTGGGCTGCATTTTTGTCAATGAAGCCAGATCATGGACAGAAATTTCAATTTCCGGGAGATTTCCCTAACAAGCGTACAAACCTAAAACTGGTCGAAATGCGGGAGACTTGGCAGGTATGCTATTTTAGCTCAGGGCCTGCAAATTTTTCATGACATACTATGAACAGAATTTGCTGACAAAATGCTGTAACGTAGTTTTGGTGCTGTTTTAAAAGAAAAAAATCTCATACACAACCCATTGTTGAATAATGCTCATATTTTATATATTATTTGCTCTGATTCTCCAATAGCCAGAATAATAAAAATTTTCTGGAGCATTGCATGCATTAGGTTAAGCGTAAACCTGCTGGCCAAAGCCACAGATCTTTTTAGAGTGTGTAGGAGGATGAACATCAGAAAGTTTCTAGTGCAAGTAGTATGCGAAATTGGGCCAGTTGGTTGATTTTTTGTAGTAAAAACAATGCAAGACAATTACAGCACAAAAAGAACAACACAAGACAGGCACTAACACAGGAGAGTGCCTGTCCGATGTCATTCTCCTTCTCCTGTCACTGCCTGTTAGAGCTGTGTTTACCATGAAGAAGTTATGTTTCTTTTTTTTTAACATTAGGAGAGAATTAGTTTTATGTTTTATACTATATTAGAGTTTGCAGCTTATAAAAAATATGCCTATAAAAACTCAGTTTTGAGAATGAGTGCAAAAACGTGCATAATTGCATTTCATCATGCCAAAAGGTGTGTCTTATACAAACTTCGTTAATACGTACGCTTTAAACATACCAGTAATTGAAACTTTGTTACGATGAATCCTCACCCGGACCAATGCATAATGCATAGAGCCTTATGCAGTTGCTAACAGCTCAAGCTGCAGTAGCTTGTGTTATGTCAACTGGTTAATGCCTATTCTGCATGCCATGACAAGCTTTTGTGGCATAAAAGTCGCCGACACCACAATTCGCTGAAGAGGTCTTTTCAAGAACTGCTGTCAGTCACGCCTATGCAGATACGCATCTAAAAAGAATGAAGGTGAGGAGCTAGCCACTGAATGCACCAGTATGACCACTGACAACCCTGTCAGAATAAGCATCTTCAGCAATCTGCTTGGCTGTGCATGTTGCATAGCCTATTCAAAGCGAATTGCATGCTTTTAGAAGGTGACAGCCTAAGCGCACTGTCTCGCCGATCACTACCACCTTGCTATGCAAGACCAGACACAACTGCACGTCACTATGTAGAAATTACAGCTGCTTACTGTTGCCGAGTTAAGCATCACAGGCACAAAGTAACCTCTCAGCACTTACACTATCAAGCCAAAAAATGCTAATGTACACTATCTTAACACTGTTGCAAACATGCAAAAAACGAAATGCACTTTTATCAATTGCTGCCTAAGGGTGCAGGACTGCTAAAGCATTACAGATAAACGGAGTGCGTGTTACTTGCAAAAACTTGTCATTGTGTCAACCCAGCGAACAGCCAAACAGTGAAGGTGTGAGCTCAGAAGGCAAAGTGCCACAGAAGCCTGGAACAATTGACTCCACATGGCAGGACCCCATTTCAATGAAATAGGTTCAGTTTTCACTTAAAGGAAAATCGCAGAACAGACGTGCATGTATTACCGAAAGCAGATATGCATGCCTATGCATTCTGTCGATATGTCAGCAATCAATCATTGCATGATCTAGACCCTGATCATATTTTGAAACTCTCCTAATCATTGCACCATGCACTACCAGATGGACATGCAAGCGAGGTGGAATGTTTTCTGAGATTTTGCAAAAAGAAAGGGCTTTGTAATGGGTACTTCCAGCAATATTTGCTGCAGTATTGTATGTACTTCATTGTTCATGACACACGTCAGGAAAACCAAACTGGTACTTGCATGGTACCACTCAGTGCGTAGAGCTAGTTATCCAGCATTTCCAGCAGTACTGAATTGCAGCTGTATACCATTCATATGGAGTGAACAGCTAGCAATATAAACAAAAAATTATAAAAAGAAAACCCTTCTTAATACTTCTTCAGCACCGCAAGTAGTTCTGAGCATGAAATCATTTTATGTTTAAACTCACAAAAAAAAAATTAAGAGAACTGCTTGTAATCTGAAAGTTATGAGCCCTACATTTGCAATGAATAAAATATTTGACTTTGGTCTTACGTGTAGTGCTCTGCTGCAATACTGAACTCTCCCAGGAAAATGTGGGCGTTGCCGAGGTTGCTGTTTGCCCTCCTTTGAGCTGCTTTGTCCCCAAACTCCTTGGCCAATTTCAGTCTCTGTAATGCCAGCATAACATAGGCACACATTAGAACTGTAAGGATTTAAAAACTGTAAATTGGCTGTCCTATTGGTAGTGGAAAGCTTTGCTACCGAACTGAAGGGCGAAAGTTCGGTCCTGGCCACAGCAGTCACATTTCGATGGAGGCAAAATGCAACACGTTCAAGTAGTCAGATTGATGCATGGTGTTAGGATTGGCGCCCGAATCAAGAAGAAAGGTTGTCCTATTTTTCTGTGAAAAGAATGCCGGAGAGCACGGGCCTGCTGACGACCATCCAAACATGGGTATTGTCCTCCCGAGGTGAAGCGCCGTGCAGCGCGACGCAAAAAGGGGTTCGAAAAAAACTACTGCAATAGGTCCCAACCATGCTACCACACTTGACGAGAGAGGCATCACTGCAGATGGCCACCAGCCCCTTATAATTGCGCGGGGGGAGTGGCGGTTCCCTTTCTATGTTCCCGGCAATGCAAGCGTGTGACTCAGCACCCAGTGGCATTCTCACCCCAAGGAAGAAACAACCTCACGCCAGAGGGGAAGTGTGGTTGCTACGGCCCGGTCTAGGACGTTGCCCAGGGCGGGTGTGGGCGGCGGCATCAAAAGTGATGTGTGTATGGTGGTTGGACAATGGAATGAAGCCTTTCCCCCATCTAAGGAAGAGGAGAAAAGAGACTCTTTAAAATCAGCCCCCGTGAGCTGAGTGGGCAAGAAATCTTCGTCCAGCCTTCGACGAGATCGTCACGATGTAGAACGACATCTTCGTCTAGATGTTCATCATGTGGCAAGAAATTCTCACTTGTAAATAATGTAGAATAAACCTCTGTACAGTTTTCCTTATCAGCCTCTTCATGCTCGGCGTCTTCGTCCCGAGTCCCCGGTGCCGGTAACATAAAGTCCCAACACCCCAACAACGAATAACAATGGCGAGATCCTGTCAAACCCCCGATTCAACAACTGGATGGCAGCGGTGGGATCTTGATCAACCCCAGGAACAAACAACTGGTGGCGGCGGTTGGATCCCTGTCAAACCCCCGAGTTACAACAATGGTAAAGAACCCCAAATGGTCGAAATTTCTGGAGCACTCCACTACAGCATTCCTCATAATCTTTGGCATGTATAATTGCAAAAAGTATTATTTTATTGAAACTGCAAATTTTTTTGTAGTACCACTAACAAGAAATGCATACCTATGATGGATAGTAAAATACACTGCTCTATTAGTTATCAGTGTTCCCCAAAGCCTCTCGAACTCATATTTGTGGATGTAGGCAGCACCAGATTGTTATTTTTTCATTACCCTTGCCATATATGGCATTTTAATAATCATCAACGAATTTCATCATATTAAAAATAAGTTACCATGAAAACAGACTTTAAGGCTGTTGTACTCTCAGTAGCATAATACTATATGTAAAGAGACTTAAATGCTTAAATATACCAAAATCACACATTTTGTGGTTTGAAGACTTGCAGCATATGAGCCCACAACGTAACTGTACTTTCCTAGCATAGGGACACTTTCTATTACCATGGACACAACTTTGCCACGCATATCACGCATCAATAATGATGCGGTATTATTACGATTTTGCTTATGCTGTAAATCCCATTTTACTAGTTTTAAGAAACAGTGAACCTACAATGACCCATAGCAGGAACATGAATGCACGTCCAACATGAGCCTTACACAGATTACATATTGTGGCAACTAATGGTCAACAACAGTTACTTAGAACGAGGAAAGAGTATGAATAATAAAACTGCATTTTGCAAACACTAAGCAGACCGCAGCACAGATGTTGGTATAGCCTGTAGTGGAGGTCTAGACAAGCAGGAAACTATGACCTTCGGTCAGACTGGCAACACTCCGCAGCTTGATCCCAATCCAACACAGACAAATCAGAGAACACCAGTAAAATATGGTCAACGTCCAATTTTTTTATTTACTAGGAACATGAAAATGACCGAAAATATGAATTCATACTTCCTTACTGCACACAAACAGTGAAATCACCACAGCTACATTCAAAATAGCTCCAAAGACATCCCGGTACACTTATCAGGCATTTGAAAGCTTTCATGGGCTCTCATCAATACATTCAATACTTGCAGAGAACCCTGCTTAATACGTTTGCTGCAGAAAGCTTTATTGAGGTCTTGTTTTAAGTGCGGAGTGACCCACCGGTGGGCCACTCGGCATATCTTCCAGGTGTGCCGTGGCAACCATATGCACGGTCGTAACATCACGGCCGCATAGGAGAAGACCGTGACCCACCAGTAATCCACGCCGCAGTGAACATGCTGAATACGAGCTAACCGCCAATAAAAAATTGGCCCAATGTGATTAGCACCTCCAATACGAGTACACTGAATGCCACGGCTGAAGCAGTAAAGCGAAAAACTGGTCTGGATTTCCACGATGGGTGTTTGTGTGTAGGCGATACGCAACTGCACGAAAATATTCGCTTATTCACTAAAACGAAGCATTTGCTGCCGTGGGGAGCCAATCTTTCTTAATAGTGTATGAACCGTAGCTTTTTAAGCTCACACACTCACTGCTCAGGTGCCTGTGGTACTGAATGCATGCATTCACGATTAGTGTTCATCGAACTCCGTTCCTGAATATACACAGCTGCAGCAATGGCGAACTGCTATCATTGCTGAAGGCAATATGTCTGTGTAGCACATCTAGTGTAATCGCAAAGAGAAGCAACAGTGTGCGGCACTGTGGCCCGTAAAACGCTTACACCTTCACTAAGCCACATGCACTGGGCAGTCAGCTGAAGACACTTATTGCTCTTGCCATTTACATTCCATTGGCACATTTGCTGCCATCCCACCTCTGTGCATTTCCAGTGCTTATCCATTAATATACATTGCCACACTGCGCGACAACAGTGGCCCCTTAGATTCTTGGTATGCTTCACCCCACAACACCTTGGCATTCAGGCAAAGCTGACAAACTTCACTATGGCCACAATTAGTCCGACTCACGAAATTGTTGGTTTGAACATGCAAGATGAACGACACAGCAGAGGCAGGGGCCTAAATGGTATGAACAGATAGTCCTAAATATTGAATGCCGAAGAATTTCAGAGTCCTGAATTTCAGACGTCTTTATACATTGACTCTTTGTGGCATCTGGCAGTACCACATAAGCGTCCAAATTTTCAGGCATATCCAAAATACAGGCATCCGAAAAATTGAAGGACAATAAGCAGAATTCCGAACAGCAGTTAGATTTTTCTACAATTTGTGTCAAGCTAACTTGACACAAAAAAAAATCTATTTATGTGACATAACCACATGACTAAGAAGCTCGTTATATCAAGTGACTATAGATTAATTTCTGATCATCTTGGATCCTTTAACATGCATTTAAATCCAAGTGCCTGATCATTTTTACATTTCACCCACATCAAGATGCAACCGCTGTGGCCTGGAATAAAACGCACATGCATAGCAGGCCACTAAGCTACCACAGCAAGCTGTATAACAAGTTTCAAGAATTTCCTTTGATGCGAATATAGCTCAAAACAAGCACCTGCTCGTGGTAGGCAATGGCCTTCCTGAAATCACCAAGCAGGTAGTACGTATTTCCCAAGTTGCCGTATGCTCGTCCTTGAGCTGATCGGTCACCAAGAGCCACCATTAACTTGAGGTTCTCCCTAGAATGATGGAATAGAAATGCTTAAAGCGAGCGAGTAAAAACTTTATTGACAATGTCCCACAATATTGTGCAGGGTTGGAAACATTAAAAAGGCATTTTTTGTTCTTTTTTCCCCACTTTATTTAAATTTGCTCCCAGTAAAACTACAAATGCTTTTACACAAAACATTTGCATGAGAATTAAAACACATAGGACTATTAGAAATCAATTGGAAATCCTTATGAACACAGTCAGAAAACCAAACTAAAGCACAACTGAAGTTTCTCCCGGGCATGATCTACATAGCAGGCAGCCACTAAGTTCTGTGCTCACTCATAGCAGTGGATGGCCCTCTGCAGGCAGTCCTGAACATCAGATGGCAGCTCCCCAGGTTCCTGCCTACTGGCACGAGCTATGTGCTTTCCTTTAGCATGGTACACATTGCCCAAGTTGTAAAGGGCACGTGCTTCTCCTATCTGCAGAATCCAGAAAAGGAAAAGATCAGTAACACATTCCTTATGGCTTTTAACTGTTTAACTTTTAATTTTAACTGTCTTGACTTCTAAATATTTTAGCACACTACTGAAGCACTCTTACCATTTTCGAAATTGCAAGTTATAATGAGAATGCACGGTTCATGTTGCAAGTTTCTATGAAGTTTCAAATTGTTTCTCCACACACTTTCTTTTAAGCCTGCGCATCACATTTCTTCTCTCCTCTTTACTCCAATGTTCTACAATACAAAATTTCCAGCTAGTGTCTACTCATCTCATACCATTTTTTTTTTCCTCCTAGAGCTCAAATATGCACATTACACCACCAGAAAGTAGTGACATTTTGCAGCAATTATATGAACTCTGCAGGTGAATAAAATCTAAAATCATTAATACAAGCTAAAATTGAGTGCACCAACAAATGCAAATTACTTACATTTATTGACTAGGTTCGAACCAACGATTTTGCGAGTCAGACTGTTCACGGCCACAGTTTTACATGCCAAAACCACAATATGACCAGGTATCACTTTGTTTGGACTCTTGCTTTCGACACCCTCAAATTATTTAAGTTCAACTGAACCTAAATCAAAACACAGGTATTCTTCTAATTTACATTATCAATGGCTAGTAATTAACCCTACCCTTGTGCTTAACAGCACAGAACCGTAAATACTAAGCTACAAGGGCAAGTGGTCATTCATTGACATTGGCTGTTGATAATTTTATGTGCCAAAGCAACCAAGGGTGTTGACAGAAACCTTAATGATCATCACCCCATACAAAAAAGTACCATTACAGGAACTAATCCATTATAATTTTTTTCTTAGACAGGCTAATTACATTCCAATACTGTCTTTTATTAAAATGTATATTTCACTGACACTACCTAACAGGATTCTCAATGATAGATTGATTGATATGTGGGGTTTAACGTCCCAAAACCACTATATGATTATGAGAGACGCCGTAGTGGAGGGCTCCGGAAATTTAGACCACCTGGGGTTGTTTAACGTGCACCCAAATCTGAGCACACGGGCCTACAACATTTCCGCCTCCATCGGAAATGCAGACGCCGCAGCCAGGATTTGAACCCGTGACCTGCGGGTCAGCAGCCGAGTACCTTAGCCACTAGACCACCGCGGCGTGGCGATTCTCAATGATAGTGTTTGACAAGTCTATCTGAGCAACAGGATACAACTGTCTCGCAAATGTTGGAAGAGTGAAAGAGTCATTCAACAATGTCTCACAATGACATGCATAGTGTATCAACCATGAAATTAACACTTATCACTATGAAATTCAATATGGTACATGCTTGTACCCACATGAAAGCCGCAAGTTGAAATACATTCTCAGACCTGCCAAGCTGAACTTTAATTATAAAAACTGAACTTCTTTGATAACTTGAAATGCTTAGTTTTGAAAATATGCAGATTTTGTTCTGAACAAGCCTTAACAAGCCTTCCCTCCACCTCTTCACTCTGTAGCTGTAGATACAATTTTCAGTGCCACAATTTGAAATATGTGAAATTTCGTCCATGAAATAATGTGATGATGGGCAAGTAACTTCGGACACTATTGAGCACGAGTAGCACTGTGTATAGGTTCAAATAATCACGCAAGTCTGAAAAATCCAGCTCGGCCAATACGGCTGCCAAATGCACTCAATTGTTTCGAGGTCAGCTTTATTCTACACTTTATGCAAACAAAAAAAAACATTACCTATTCCATCAAGCACTTTATAATAACTTGAAAAATTAGGCACTCTATGATAAAACCTTAAAGTTTGTAAATGTGCATTATGCATTTATCTCAGTTACATAAAAAAAGCAGACTATGGTTTGGATTAACCTATGAATACATGTGGTCATTTTGAAACATAGTGTAGAGGACATTAACTAACAGGCAACAAATATTCCTGTGCCTACATGAAGTTGAGGTAGATAAGCACTTATGCACTAAACATATTGTGTATATTATTATTATACAGGGTGAAAAGAGTATGTGGCCACTACTACCTTTGCTAAAGAACACAATGCCAACCTCTAGCAACCTATCAATTCAAGTGAATGATAAAATACACTTTAGGAGGGCACACTTAACCTTAGCATAACAGCTGCCTTCATGGCAATGGATGTAAAATGAGCACATTATGAGGTGCTGAAACTGAAGTGAAAAATAAAACATGCCCACCAAATTCCAGGGTAAAGCAAGAAGAAATATTAGTTTAAAGCACACTCTACAATGCAGTGAAGTTCCCTTGCCAGACCACACAATGAAAGCATGTGAAGAAAGAGAAAAAAAAGTGACTGTGCCCAATTTTAGCAATGCAAGTGCCCTTGATTTTCAGCTCGTGAAGTGCTTAACACATGCTGAGACTGTGCATTATACGCAAAGTATCGAACACTTTGCAATAAAAAAATAAGCAAAAAAATCTCACACACTGGTCAGTGCCACAATTTTTTGCAGTAGGGAGCACCCACATCAAGTGCCTTTGCAGTGGCTTATGCACTAAGATTTGAAAATATTTGCTCGAGAAGGGGGGGGGGGGGGGGGGGGTTGCTAACACTTTACCTGATACCCCACTCCGGCACAACCACAGACTCGCAGTTTTGTGACCAGAAAAGCTATTGAGAGACTATGCTAGTATATTATAATATAGACATGAAATACCCAAAGAGTACCTATATTAAGATACTCAGAAACACCTTTGGAAGTACTCATGAACAACCTCACTGTTTTACTACAATGCTTTTTGAGCTGATGATGATGATATGTGGTGTTTAACATCCCAAAACCACCTTATGATTATGAGAGACGCCGTAGTGGAGGGCTCCGAAAATTTCGACCACCTGGGGTTCTTTAACGTGCACCCATATCTGAGCACACGGGCCTACATTTCCGCCTCCATCGGAAATGCAGCCGCCGCAGCCGAGATTCGATCCCGCGACCTGCGGGTCAACATCTGAGTACCTTAACCACTAGACCACCGTGGCGGGACCTTTTTGAGCTGCTTTTTCTTTCCTTATGACCTCATGAGCATATTAGAAGCTACAAACAAAAGCGAATAGTACGAACAAAAGAGAATAGTACAGATATTCGGTCTATGTTTAAATTTCAAATTCTCAGTCAAAACTGTGAAATAATTTTTGTTTGAATGCAAGTAAGCTGTTATTGCAGTCCACTGAGGAAAGAAAGAGACATGGAAACGGTGAAATATCAAATGGTTCTGCTATACAGACAGAAACTGCACTTATTTGTGCTGGGCAAATGCTGATCAATAGGGGCACGCCCCAAGAAGTGTGTGTACCTGCACCAATCTGACTTTTTAATTTTCCTGCATTGTCTAAAAGAAAAATAATTTCTTTGTGCACAGAATGTTTCAGAAAAGAAGCCAGATAGGGCAGAGCAAACTCTTATCTGACTTCTATTCTCAAATGTTCTGCCCACAAAGAAAGTATTTTCCTTTTAGTAATACTAACCAGCCTAAGCAGCCTCTCTGTTCCTGTGCTGCCCTCTGCAGTGCTGGCAGGCTTTTGGAAGGGAGGGGGACAAGTGCCAGAACAAAGGCCTTCGCAATCAAGAGATGTTTTAAGACTTTTCTGCTAGGAAAAGGGCACATGGGCTGTGGCATCATAAAAAAGGCAAATTGCTGGGCAGAAACATAGAAAACCAAACTCCTGCACAATAATTTCCCATTTGTTAATGGGATGCCATTCCCCTATAGGCAGATTACACATATGTTCACTAAAATTAGGCTATTCATGTTATTATTTGGACAATATTATCACATTTGTATCACCTTCAAACAATTTGAATGTGGACACATGTTTATGCAGCACAGCTTCCACAGCCAATGTGATTTTCTGCTCTGCAATGGCATTACACTTCCAATTGAATGGGCAGCAGCATAGGCCATCAAAAATACTACATATTGAAATCTCCACAAACAGCCTTCCTTTTCACTAAATAGAATTGTAGAATATTTACACTTTTTTTATAAGTTCTAAAATATCTAGTATTTTATTCAATATTCGAACTTTGTCATTCTTGTACATTTGTTTTCAATTTAATTATAAAATTTATACATTTGTACCAACTCAGATCTGAATATATACAGAGATTGCAAAGAAAAAGAAATATCAGTAATTTCTAAAACAGCAGCTTTCCAACCAGTTTATCACTTGGAGCAATTTTTGAAACAGAAAAAAGCGTGCTTTGGAGCAGATTTGGAGCAAGAGAAAATGTGTTTAGGAGCAGGTCTGGAACAGCAAAAATAGGATTTAGGACCACTTGGAGCAGGACATGTCAATATTTTCAGTGAATATTGTCTCCATCTTTTTCGCGGGACGCACGTGACATTGTCGTCTTCTCAGCTACATTCGAGTCGATTATTCGCAGTCCTACAAGCTACATGTTTGGCTGGCCTGACTTTAAAACCAGAGAAGTGCCATTTTGGTTTCAGCGAACTTTGCTTCTTAGGCCACGTGGTCAGCCACGAAGGTGTTCGACCTGACCCGGGCAAAATCGACGCTGTCGCAAAGTTTCCCGCACCGCATGACAAAAGAGCAGTGAGACGCTTCTTAGGCCTCTGCGCTTATTACCGACGATTCATCGCCAACTTTTCGTCTATTGCGGTGCCTCTGACGCGGCTCACACGAGAGGATGTTCCCTTTCTTTGGAGCGAAAAGGAACAAACAGCGTTCAACGAATTACGCCAACGCCTCCAAACACCTCCGGTTCTGGCGCACTTTGACCAGGAAGCGCCAACAGCACTTCACACCGACTCAAGCAATGTAGGCCTGGGCGCCGTACTGATACAATGGCAAGATAACTCCGAGAAAGTGATAGCCTATGCCAGCAGAGCTCTCTCTCGCACGGAAGAGAACTACTCGACTACCGAGAAAGAGTGCCTCGCCGTGGTTTGGGCGGTTCTCAAATTTCGACCGTATCTGTACGGCCGCTCATTCAAGGTCGTC